CTCTCCCAACACCCCCCCCCCCCCCCCCCCCCCCCCCACCCCCCCCTCCCCCCCTCCCTCCCTCCCAACACCCCCCCCCCCCGCGTCCAATGTAATGCCTGCTAGAAGAAAGATGCTGTCAAACCAAAAACATATTTCAACTTTACCAATACTAAATTAAGGAAAATTTAAAATTCATAATCCAAGAAAATGAGATGAGAAAATGAACACAACATAAAGAAAATGGAGTGTGACCAAGCAGGGAGTGAAATAAACACAGAATATGTGAAAGTCAGAATAAACATGCACTAGTGATGCATTGATGGTGGCGCATTAGAAAATATGGACTTGTTATTGCAGTTTGCTTTTCCATCACTAGCCACAATCAATACAAAGAAACAAAACACTATGAGTACAGTTACACTTTGCTAAGTTAAACACCTGCATGTTAAATGGAATAATTCACATTACATGTTAAATGGAATAATTCACATTACATGTTAAATGGAATAATTTACATTACATGTTAAATGGAATAAAGACTTTGTTTCCATAGATATTCTCTTCATAATTACCTTGATTCATTTACATCTGTCCAACAGAAATGTTTTGATTATTTAAAAAAAAATGCTACCCCCCCAAAATGTATGTTACCCCACATACTTCTGAATTGCAGATCCCCCAATAATTGTATTGCAGCGAGCTGGCTGTCAATGCCTAAACATTTGTATTGTTAATGAGTGTGCAAAGTTTCATTATGATATTGAAAAAAAAAAACATTTACTGTCCATTTTCTGTCTATACATTTTGTGTAACTTTCAAAATTGGTATTAAATTATTTATTTTTTGCAATAAAAGTAAAATAATAAAGAAACATAGAATATTTTTTTTGGACCCATTGACCACCTTAAGTGTAAATAATTTATTTTAAGTATAGACTGATATTCCCTTTAAACCCTGGAGCTTACAGCAGATGATGAGTTGTTATATCTCTTGATAACAACGGTTAGGGCTCGTTGATCTGTTGTTTGCAGGTAAAAATTGTGGTGCTGGTTGTTCCACTGTTGTGGCTGGTGCTGGGTCATCCAGTTGAGTAGAATTTAAGTTTATTCTATAGTAGAATCTAGAAAAAATTTAAAAGGAATTAAAAGTTCAGGATATTAATAAAGGTTTAAAAAAACAGAATACAATATATATAACATTTTTTATTTAAATATGTTACGAAGTTAAGATGAACTAACCTGGTGCATTCTTGTCCATGATCAAAATTTGAGTCTACTTTAGACAAGATTCCACTTCAGACATCAATCCAAATGTAAGCAACCTATACATGCAGGCTTGACTTGTAAACATATCTTCTTCTTTTATTAACTATCAGAAGAAAATAGAAAGAATATACTTAGAAATCATATTTTAATAAGAATGTATACATTTGAAAAGCTTTTAAAATATTTGGTTGTGCTCACAGGCAGTTAGGGCGGTGTGGTTCCTCAAAAATAAAGCTGAGTTAATGATTTGTCCATATGAGGTCATTGAATTCATATGTTTTTTCTAGTTACTAAAAATATTCATGAAATGAACCTCTTGAATCAAATGATCAGAAATGGAAAATGTCACATGAAAGAAATCATCATACCTAACCAACAAATAATAAGTTTAAATATGTCTTAAAATGTCTTAAAAGTTACCAATTAATTTTCCCAAACTTTTTAAATGTGTCAAATCAAATCAAGAAAGAGAAAACCTTGGCAAATACAACCCCTCTCCGTAGCGTTGATTTCTCAGTTCCAGTCCCTGGCGGCACTTTTTTTGTCTGTATAGGGTTGGGTGGCATTTTCAGCCAAGTGCAACAAAAATAGAGGGATTTAAAAAATGCAAGGTATAATTTTATTTGACCATCAAATGCTGCCTGGTATACATTATTATGAGAAAGTGGAATTATGAATTCAGTGTATTTAAGTTTAGTCTTTTATTCTGACCCAGTTAAATGAAAAAGGTAGGTGGAACAAAAAGAGCAAAGTAGAACAAAACAAAACAACATCAAGCCAGTAACAAAAGCAATAGTGATGAAAAGGTCGAATTTGTGATGACACAGGAGGACATAACAAGCTTAATGTGACAGCTGGAACAATAAAGGCCAACATTAAAACAACAAAAATTTTGCTTTAGCTTTAGCCTTCCTCAGGCGCCCAAAAATTCAGTTAAAATGTATTATAAGTTGAAAAAAAAAAAAAAAAAATGAGATATACAACTTCCAGAAGAAGAAGCCATTATATAAAATTAACTTTAATTGTGATTTTTTTTGCTCATAATTGTTAGTACCAGCACAGTTTTATTTTTAAAACAAAAAAAATTTTGCTTTAGCTTTAGCCTTCCTCAAGCGCCCAAAAATTCAGTTAAAATGTATTATAAATTGAAAAAAAAAAAAAAAAAATGAGATATACAACTTCCAGAAGAAGAAGCCATTATATAAAATTAACTTTAATTGTGATTTTTTTTGCTCATAATTGTTAGTACCAGCACAGTTTTATTTTTATTATTCTAAGTTAAAAAAAATCTCTTTAATATATTTATTAAAATTTTGGTGATTTGATTGTATGCTGCCCCAGGGAATCTTTTACCCAAAAGACATGGTTTAATTTGATCTTTAAGTATATCCACCACTGCAATATGTCTTTGAGAAGAGTTAGACAGATGACTTCTACTTCTCCAAAGTTTCATATGATTTTTTTCCACTCTGCTATAAAGTTGTTTGCCTTTTCATTTAAAAAAAAAAAATAGAGAAAATTGATCACAAAAATAAGGCCCGGTTTCCCAGGTAAAAAAGTGGGTTTTAATCACAAAAAAAAAATAAATAAATTTTAACCAAAAGTTCTACATGAAAAATGAAAAGATACTTGTTTACTATAAGGGACCACCAAGAAGTATTGCAATAACTCAATACTGGGATTAGTCCTTGTTCAGCTTCAAAGTCTCCCCTTGCAAGTATCTAGGCCTTGCAATTCTCTCCCATTTGTTTTTATCCATTGTCCTGACCCCAGACTGAAAACCAAGCAAGATGTCATGTTCCTCCCACTAGGTGTGGTAAACCCGCGGGATGATTCTGATCTTAGTTATCTAAGCCATGTTAGCTTCTCTTATAATGAAAAAAAAAATACAGTAAACTTAAGAGCTTCGTTCTTCATTTAATTAATAGAAGGGCATAGTAGTATTTAGGTATAACGTGTGGCAAATTTTACTTTTCCTTCGCCTTATCTTTAGATTTTCGGGACGTATTGCTTAAACAAAAGACTTGCGGTTTCGTTAGATGCCGAGCCGATTGTAAAAAGGGAGTGGGGGGGGGGGGGATCACAGGGAAAAAAGTACAGGGAAAAATGTATAACGTGTGGCAAATTTTACTTTTCCTTCGCCTTATCTTTAGATTTTCGGGACGTATTGCTTAAAAAAAAGACTTGCGGTTTCGTTAGATGCCGAGCCGATTGTAAAAAGGGAGTGGGGGGGGGGGGATCACAAGGAAAAAAGTCACAGGAAAAAAGTCTTAATTATCTCTATGATAGACTAAAATCTCTAAATACGTATGTGGCGTTGCTACAGCTATTGCCAATAATTCTTCCACCCACTCCTATGAAAGATGTTTACAGTCTACAGCTGGTCGACAAATGCCGCCCCTCAGAATTTATAAAATGGTGGCCCCCCCAGGACGGACCGCCCCCTTTACTACATCCTTAATAAGCCAGGGATTTTGGGTTCAAAAAAGGGAAGATTGAACAGCTGAGAATGAACAGCTTGGGACAGTGGTCGGGAAAATCTTCATGGCAAAGAGTCAAATATTACATTTTGAGATAGTAACCCGTTATAGCTAAGAGCTACGTGAGCAAGATCATAGAACCGCATGCGGCTCACGAGCCGCAGGTTCCCGATCCCTGATCTAGGATCTATTTACACCTCATCAGTGGACGAGTACTGTTTTTTAAAATTAAAATTACGAAGTAAACAATTTCTTATGTGAGATAACTACTGACTCCATGTTTGATTCGTAGAGAGTGAAAAAGAAAGAACAGAAGTAAAGAGAGGGGGTGTGTTTGTGTAAGAGAGAGAGAGAAAGTACGAAACACTCTCAAAACAAGTGGTAGGCGTGCTATGGCTTATTCGCCCATTGAATCCGTGGACTGTTTGTGGCTGACCTAAAATAAGTTCAACATTTGGTTCATACGGTTAATGGACCAGGGTTCTCAGGTTCTCATAATTATCATGTTTTCAAATGTATCTCCTTGCATAAAAATGTCAAAACAGTTAAATTGAAATACACATCTCGATCAAAGACAGATCTCATCTGGCCACTGGTTAATTGTTTTTTGTTTTCTTTCCAAAGCTTAGAGCATTACTATTTAGCTTAATTAGTAATGTAGCTTTACCAAATTATGCCACCTGGTTAAAACTCTCAAAGATACTGCCCCAACACACCCCACCCAAAAAACAAACAAAAAACAAAAACAAAACAACCTGCAAATATCTTAAGTATTTTTAGAATCGGAAATTTAAAACGTTTTATTCTGTATACTTGACAGCTTACTTTCGGTAATAAGAATATTACTATTAATACTATAGTACACAACCCGATTAGTTTATTAAAAAAAAAAAATGACTCTTCAATCGGCTATCTAACGTACAAAATATTTGTCGGTACACAATGAAGACTTCATTATTTTATGATGTTTTAAGATTCTAAGTTCACGATGAGCAACGGAGAAATAACCAGCTATTATGTCCAGAAAAAAAAGCTACCCCTTCTTCTTCTTCTATATCTTAAGGGCCCACGATCAACACCAGTAACAGAAACATTGCAAATCCCATCTACATGCATAGGAGCCAAAATTATCAATAAATTGATCGTGGGCCCTTAAGATATAGAAGAAGAAGAACATGGCTTGGGGCTTTGTTGTTGTTGTTATTTTGTTGCTGCTCGAGGTCAGAAAACCTCTCCACCCCCACCCCCCCCCTCTTCTACGCCTCTTGTGCCACCTGAGGTCAGATTGGCGCCTGCGCACCTCAATCCGATCCTAGTGCAGAGGAGCTCAATACAACGAAACTGAAACTAGGTCAATGGAACTAAATACACCAACAGTTCCTGGCATTCATCGCTCTTTCGTGATAAAACCTCAGACGGAATGTATAAGTACAGAAATCTTGTGCCGTTCTAGCATTCACATTGTAACATTCGCCCCGATCAAAATCACCGACATTGTAAGTATAAAGTCATAAAATATTTAAAAAAAAATCCAAATAAATTGTTTGCGTGGACATGATATTAAATGAAACTATTTTATGCTATTGAACTTACACAGTTTAACTAAAAACCCAAGTTTATAGCAGAATGTGCTGCACAAACTTAGAGTTGGCTGCTAGAAGTTAAAATTATTAACGGGGTCAGCTGACTATGGTGTTGGTCAATAATTTTTTTTTTTGGGAGTTGCTATTATCATCACCCCGTTAAAAATTCTAACTTTACCGAGTAGTGTAAATCAAGATAAGACTATGTTAAGATTGCGTCTAAAGAATCTCAATAAACAGGGCCGCGTATCAGATCAAACCCGTTGGTTGTGTCTACTTCAAGTCAATGCTGTTTCAGAAATAGGTATGATAACTTATTATCTGTGATTTCAAACAGACCGAGTCTGTGTTACACTGCAGTTTAAACTCAACATTTGGACAGTCAGAAGAACATAATAATCTAGCGACCAAGTGTCAAGCCCGTAAGCCCACAAGTGAAATAGTTCAAATAAGGTAAGGAAGTTAAGTACACAAAATCTTGAAAGTGATATCTTTCTCCAAACAATATTCTTAAACTTGAGGAATAAAACAGTTCATAGACCAGTCTTCAAACCATCCTTGCGTCATCCATGCTTTACCTTGGGAGCGAAAGTAGACAGACGGGAAGTGTGTGCTTGTTAATAATTGTTCACATTGTTGAACGCACCCGGGTTGCCTGAGTGATAAATTAAGAGCGGGTTTAGCTTAAACCCTGTGATGTTACTGCCAAGCAGCAGAGTCTGCCTATCCTTAAATGCTTGAAATCCCGGTATGTTTTTGCCTCGTTGTGAATATAAATGTGTGCTGTTATCCGTTTCCAAAATTGTCGGGCTCTGTAATCAAGGGTCAGGGAATGGCATAAGTATAGCAGCTCAAACATAATATTTGTTTTGGAAAGGAAACTTGGCTCGCAGTTTACAAAAGTTGATTATTAAGTCTAGGTAATTTCTAAGGATGGCTACGTAATTTTTAAAGGTGTCTAGGTAAGTTGTAAAGGGTGGCTAGGGAAATTTTAAGGGTGGCTAGGTAATTATTTTAGGGTTGATAGGTAATTGTAAATGGTATATTGAACAAAAGTGGAATTATTTAATTAATTTTTTCAAGAATCTGTTTCAAGTGATCAGAATTTTGGTCTTTATTAAGTAATGAAGATTGGATATTTTGAAAATATGGAATTTGATGAGAATTATTTGTACAGCTAGTAGGGCCAATAGCCAGTGGCATAGCTAGAGTAGGTGTCGCGTGGCGTGAGCCAAGATTGTGGCCACCCTTTCCACGAAAAAACCCGAAGTTGGCCGAAAATACTGACCCTCAATTATGGAAAAAAGTTCCGCCAACTTCCGCACCCAATCTCCTACGCCACTGTCAGTAGGTCTTGACACCTGATATGTGAGATGTATAAATATATATAAAAATATATATTATATATATATATATATATATATATATATATATATATATATATAAATTCTTTTTTGAAAATCCCACATCCAGAGGCGTAACTGGGGCGTTAAGGGACAGATGTTTCCGCGGCCAGACTAGTGGGGTGGCCAAAAAGTTGCTGGTAGTGAGACGTTAATCGGGGGGTGGGGTGGGTAGGGGAATAATGGCAGAAAATATGGGAGGGGGTGATGAGGGGGGTGTCTGGGAAGGGGTCTCCACTGAACCATATCACTAGTGAACTATAACAATAAACCAAGTTCACATACTAAGCTTATTTTCTTGGCCTAGTGGGAGAACAGCAGCCAGATAAAAAAAAAAAGCATGTCTATTTTGTTTCCCTCTAGACCAGTGGTTCTCATTCTGTGGCTTGGGACCCTATGGAGGTCTTTGCCTAAGACGATCCGGATAAAACATTTTTAAGAAGCATGAACGAAAATAATTTTATGATTGGACAGGAACTGTATTAAAGTGTGGCGGCATTATGAATGTTGAAAACCACTGCTATAGACCGATTATGTTGTCCACCTATAACACCGGATGTATACCCTGGTAGTAACGAGTAAACTTAACAGTCATTTTCTTTTAAATTACAGCGTGGAGACGATGCCATCGCCACCACCGATTTTGCGTTTGGCCAACGCAAATACAACTCACGACAAAAAAGACCTTGCTCGAGTAGTAGCGTCATCACCAAATACAACTCAAAACAAGAAAGACCCAGAGCAAGCAGTGGCGTCATCACCAAATATAACTCAAGACAAGAAAGACCCGGACCGAGCAGTGACGTCATTAGCAAATACAACTCATGACAAGAAAGACCCTGATCGAGCAGTGGCGTCATCACCAAATACAACTCAAAACAAGAAAGACCCGGATCAAGCAGTGGAGTCACGAGCACAGTCAAACTTGACCATAGAGACAAATGTTGAAACAACATCGCAGGTTAAAACGCATACCAACGCGGCACACGCCAACGACAGCGATAGCGACGATGATCAGGATGAAGACTCTGGCACTGCAGACGAAGAGGACAACCACGAAGACAAGGAACGCGAGGCTTTCATAGAGGAGCACCTGAAAGATTTCCCTTGTACCTTCAACATCGGCAAAGCCAACTACAACATCGAGAAGAGGGTGTTCGCCGTGGAAACCATCAAGCAGATGTCGTGCCGAGGCATCGCGTGGGAGAACATCGTCGACGATGCCATCGTCAGTAGCAACGATGACGCATGGATTCCCCTTGAGTGGAAGCAGAACCGTAGAACGCGTGCCTACGTGGAGCTGGGCAGGCTTGAAGAAGCGCGAAAGTTGATCGACGAGATTCTTTACAAGACGGGCGGGCAGACGATCACGGCCACGGCCAATTTAGCTGTTTGGTATTTCGTGCAAGGAAACGTGAAAGACGCCCTGGAAGTTGTCAGACAACTTAAAGCATTGTCCAAGCTGAAAACGTTTCGCCATCTGAAGGCAGACGCCCTTTGTGAGCAGGCGTATTTTTATTATGCCATCTCGGGAGCTGAGAACAACATATCTGGTATTGAGATTGTGAAATTCGCTCTGAATTATTTAATTAAGTACAAAAGTGAGGTGACGTTTATGATGGGATCGATGCACAGAAGATGTTTGCACTGGAATACTTATTTGTTTGACAAAGATCAAATAGATTTTGTAGAATTTGCGAAAAATTCATGGGAGTTTTTGAGTAGTGTGAGAACTATGGAAGGGGTTAGATCTATCCTGAAGGCTAACGCCTTAGTGGAGCTTGCTTTCCTCAAGAACGATGTTTCCGTCGTCGAAGATGTTGATACGGAGAGCTTAAATTTTAACGTTTCTATAGAGTTATTGTGCAAAGAAGCTGTTGAACTAGCACCAGGTTCAGCGGACGTTACAGCAATTGCTGGTCAGCTGGTTAAGCATATTCCTCAGCTAAAGAGCTGGGCAAAGCATCTTTTAGAGGTGTCCTTGGAAATACAGCCTTCAGGAAGGGCGCACCACCATCTGGGATTGATTCTTCTCAAGGAGGCTAACCAGTTTGAAAAAGAGAACCATTCAAAATTATCTCCCAAAGAGAAGCAAAGCAGAGACAGGATACGCTCAGATTCACAAGACATCTCCTACGAGCTCAGCCAAAAAGGAATCCAGCGCTGTGATACTTTTGAGTGGGTCTTGGACAGTTGTCTTGCCGAAGGTAAGAAAATACCTCTCTTTAGCGCCCACAATCCATTTATTCAAGATGCCGCAGAAAATCTGAATGCTTTTTTCAACCTAGTCTCCTTCAACAGAAATCTGCCAACCGTTGTTAGATTGGGATACGCCTATCTACGATGTTGTCAGTACAACCTGGCTTCGGACATCTACATTTACTTCACTGTTTATGGTCCGAACGAGATACCGAAGTTGGTTCTGTCATACGGTCTCAAGATGGCCGCTGTTTGTTTCCTGCTCAACGCAGAGCTGGCCGAAAGCGAGGAGAAGCGATCGAAAAGAAGAAAAGCCGCCAGTTCACTGCTAGTCAGCTCTGTGAGTATTGCGGAAGAGATTTCCAAAGAAGAGGCATCGAAAATGGAGCCGCTAAAGTTCTGGGAAGTCATAAAAAACCTACCAAAGTATCACATGGTGCCTCCTACGTTATTTCCAAAGCTTTAGGAGTTTAAACATTTCACGAAGCAATCAAAACGCTCATACTACTTAACATTTCAACCAGTTTATGATGATATATAGAAATATTTAAAGTGATGGAGGGTTGCAAATTCGTCAGCCTCGCTCTCTCGTCTCTGCATATTTGATCCAATGGCTGGACTTAGCCGAGACAACTTGAAATGGACCAGAAGATGACCAGCAGTTTGTGTGTGTCTCGCTCTGCTCTTTATGCGTTCTAATTGTATCATAGTCATACCACCTACGTGACTCCATCTCCGGGTTTGATTTCATATTTTGCCATCTCTGAGATTCGTTTCCATCCAAGGTTAACGAGTTCCATCCACCCCGGAGTTCACCAGCATGGGATTGACTCAGTTTAAACTACTCGGCCACCCAGCACCCTTTACGCCAAGACTTGATCCGCCAGTGCTTTAAATAACATTAAGTAAAATCCCTCTATCATTTTTTCCTGCTATTTATATCTATATCTCACTGACGTTATACAGACATGCTCCAACTCTCATCTGTTTTTTTGGTTCAATGTGAACCTCAGCTCATGTTTCAATTTTAGTCTGCATATTATTCTATTTGATTAAAAAAATAAAAAACAAATTTGAAGTTAGGTTGGTTTAACTTTAGTAAAGACTTTCTTTCTAATTGCATTTTAATTTTGTTTGTATTACCATCTTGATTGACATTCATCTTGTTGTCTTGCCATCTTGTTTGTCGTACATCTTGTTGTTTGTGATACACTCTTTTTTGTAATACCATCTTGTTTGTGATACCATCTTGTTAGTGGTGCCGTCTTGTATGTCGTACCTCTTGTTGTGGTACCATCTTGTTTATGATACCCTCTTGTTTGTGGTACCATCATGTTTCTATTATATCTTTTTCGTTGTAATTAGTTTTCGTGAGACTGATTTCGCTGTCACTCTTCATCGTCTGTTTAGTGTTCGCCTGAAAGTTCTAATCTGGGTTGTGTCGAAATCGCAGCTGCTTCGTTCAGTGAGCGGTGAGAGAAGTGGTTTTGGAAATTAGAAAAAAAGTGAAAAATACTTGTTTTTCCGATTAGAATATACAAATTACAAATTTTAACAATAAAAGCAAAAAGAAAAAAAAAAAGAAAGAAAAAAGAAAAGATATTTAAAAAAACCAAACACACTTTCCATCAAAGACCAGTTTAGACCAGTAAAACATAGAAATTAATTAAACATTTCTTACAACACATTACGTAAAGAAAGTTTGTGCAGAAAATCTGTTTTTAAAAGTAATAAAAATAAAACACAATAAGTGCTCATCTACTCTTGGAGTGATCGTATGATGAACCCGTGATGAGATGCGTGTAGAAATCACGTGACAAATAAAAGCTGCTGTAACAATCCAAGCCAGGTGATGTTTAGGGGAACCCCCGCGTGACCTAGATCAGTCAATCGCCAAATAACCAGACACGCTTTCTTCAAAGTTCTGATCAATTTGTGCTTTATGGAGAAATACCCTGTTTTATTAATGTAAACAGACCCCGATAAACAGGATATTATTTGTCCGGTATTTCTAATCCCCAATGCCATTCCAAACAACAAACAGAATGTTGAAAAGTTCGATGTTTGCCTGATATCCAGGAAGTTGTGTCCCCCTCATTTCAACTTCCGGATATCTAATATGATATCTTTAATCTTTTCGTTGTCTTTCTTTAATAAATCTGAGACCCACTTATGGCTGCGATGATAATGACATGAAACATGCTACACTCCTTAATGAAGCAATTTTCTGCATTTTAATCACATTTCAAATTATAATAGAGAATAATTTTTTGTGCATTTGTTCTAAAATCAACTCCATTTAGGCTTAGAGAAAACCTTTATGTAATAGGCAATGTAACCAGTAAAGCAGCCAGTAATGTAGTCAGTAATGAAGTTCAGTTATGCAGCCAGCAATGCAACCGGTTATGCAGCCATGAACGTAGCTACTAATTCAGCCAGCACTGCAGCCAGTTATGTAGTCAGTAATGTCCATTAATGCAGCCAGTAACGTAGTCAGTAAAGTAGCCAGTAATGCAGCCAGTTTTGCAGCCAGCAATACAGCCAGTTATGCAGCCAGTAATGTAGCTAGTAATGCAGTCAGCAATGCAGCCAGTAATGCAGCCAGCAATTCAGCCAATAATTCTGCCAGTAATGCCCCATATAACATTACATCAGCAAACTGTAGGGGCGATCGGTTGACAGAGGAGCTGAGTTTCGGGACAATTTTTTTTAAAAGAACATGTGTAAAGTTGCAGCCATTTGACCCCCGTTTGGCACCACAAAGTTACGCTAAGGCTAATGCAACATCCATGTGAACTCATACTACTTTACAATACACTGTTTGCATCATCTCATACCTCAGAGGTAGTTTTTTTATGTAGACGACGTGTCTAAATCATCTTTCCTCGTGAATGAACTTTAGCTGACCCAAAGTTTGGTAGCACGCCTTTGGGCATGGCTAATTAAAAATAGTCTCTCTTGACCTTGTTGACAAATAAATAGAGTCTATAGTCTGTATTATTAGAATCCTTTAGAAAATACTAGATTGGTCGCGGCGCTTACACATTGTGTAAGCCTTTTCTAGAAAAGTCAGTAAAACAGACTATAAATACCCATAGAAGCGATGAGCGGAGAGATTTGCGATACGCGACAGAAATTTATTCTCTAATATGTGCCGTGTGTGTGTGTGTGTGTGTGTTATGGTCCTTTCTCACCGAGCTACCTTTTACAACATTGTATTTTCTACAACATTGTACCGGTGCAAGTCAGAACTGTACTGTAAGTCAATCGCTTTAATTTAAATTGTTTTTGATTCTGTATATTTTAAATTAACAGGATACAATTATTAATTGTAATTAGCCCTAGTTTGGGTATCATTTCTTTATTATTGTATTTAATTTATGGTAACGTCGTTTGATGCTTACTGTTTTCAACGAGCCATAGTGTTAAGTAAGAGATTAAATTGTCTATACTCATAACGGTACGTAACATAGTTAAAGAAACAGATACAGTTAAAGATAGTACACATATAAATGTGCTGATCAATGTTCCCTCTAAGGTTTGTTGATTTGTGTGCAAAATCATACATTTGTGTGCAAAGTTTTACAGAATCATTTTTTTTGTGTGCAAAATTTTACTGCCCACTCACTTACAGGGAAATTCGTTGCACGTTACTCAAAACTGCTGCGCGGCGTCTGTGTTATAGCTGAACATTGGTGATGATAGAAAAAGAGTACGGCATTTTAGTTAACCTAAAATCAATATCTCTCCATCCATGGATTTCGCTACAGAAACCTTTACGCTATGGTGTAATGAATGGTGAGTGTGCCGTGACGGAAATAACGATTAGGGACACATTACGTCGTTTAACTCAGCCTCATGTTTTTAAAGTTTTAAATTTTGACAAGAACTCACAAATTAAAAATAAAAGACAGAAAAATAAAGCAACAGAAAATCCTGTATAGATTTGCAGAGTCGTCGCATGGCATCTTCACAAAAATGGGTGGGCGCAGGATGCAAGCATCAACGAGTGACATCTTCACAACGGGGATGAAAACAAATTGAAATAAATGCAAAACTTAAAAAAAAGGAAACACACAATCAGGGAGCCACCACAGCAGGGAGCCACCACAGCAGGGAGCCACAGCAGCAGGGAGCCACCACAGCAGGCAGCCACAACAGCAGGGAGCCACCATAGCAGGGAGCCACCACAAAAAAACAACAACACAACTTGGTCGAGTGAATTTGGACATAAAAAAACAGCTTATGTGTTAAAAAGTAAACCTAGGTAATAAACTCATCTGCAAAATTTTTTATAGTTATGTGAAAGGAGCGCCAAAGTTAACCTTGCCCGGGGCGCCATCAGCTGGCCCTGCAATCAAAACACACCAAAACAAATCTTTAGATCACTAAGCTTCACCTTGTAACTGCAAACAATAGTTACTCGCACCACAAGTCTCAATGCTATTCGGATGTCATTTTTTGGTAGTTTATTGTAGGTAAATTGATGAATTAAGTTTAAAAACATATAGTCTATTCAATTATCTTTCATCTGATACCAAATGTTGTCTTACAACCGAGCAATAACATATTTAAAAAAAAAATTAATCCCAAACTCTAACTTCTCGGATCCGGGTCCCAATAGCCACTTCGAAAACAAACCCCCCCCCCCCCCCATCCTTGTTTCGTTATTTTTTGTATCGGGAATAAATTGCCCGACTATACGCACAAATCATATTAATATAACAATTAATTAATGAATTCTTTAAATTTGAACAAGGTTGAATTTTTTCAGAAGCAGCGAGTTATGGACGTGCTAGACTATATTATCTTTTCCTAACAAGAACATGGCTTGGGGCCTTTTGTTTTGTTGTTGCCGCACAAGATTAGAACACCCTCCCGCCCACTGGTGCCGCCGGAGGTCAGACCGACGATGCACGTGCACAGGGGCTCAATACAACGAAACTGAATCTAGGTCAAGGGAACTCACGGAGTTGTGTTTTTTTAAAGTCTTAAATACGCCAACAGTTCCTGGCATTCGTCGCTCTTTCGTGATAAAACCTCAGACGGAATGTATCAATACAGAAATCTGGTGCCGTCCTAGCAATCACATTGTAACATTCACCCCGATCATAATCACCGACATTGTAAGTATAAAGTTATAAATTTTTTAGAAAAAAAATTCCACTTAAATTGTTTGCGTTGATATGATAATAAATTACACTATTTTATGCTATTGAACTTACACAGTTAAACTAAAAACCTAAGTTTATGGCAGAATGTGCTTTGCAAAGTAAGAGTTGGTCGCTAGACGTTAAAATTATTAACGGGGTCAGCCAATTGGGGAAGGGCTTAAATATTTGTGACGTTGGTCAATATTTTTGTGGGAGTTTTTTTGTGTGTGGCTATAATCATCACGCCGTTAAGAAAATTCTAAATATACCGAGTAGTGTAAACGAAGATAAGATTGTGTTCAGATTGCGCCAAAATAATCTCAATGAACAGGGCCGCGTATCAGATCAAACCCGCTGATTGTGTCTACTTCAAGTCAATGCTGTTTCAGAAATAGGTATGATAACTTATTATCTGTGATTGCAAACAGACCGAGTCTGTGTTACACTGCAGTTTAAACTCAACATTTGGACAGTCATAAGCAGATAGGAAACTTTCGACCAAGTGTTAAGTCCCTAAGCCCACAAGTGAAATAGTTCAAATAAGGTAAGGAAGTTAAGTACAAAAAAATCTTGAAAGGAATATCTTTCTCCAGACAATATTCTCGAACTTGAGGAATAAAACAGTTCATAAATCAGTCATCAAACAATTCCTTGCGTCATCCATGCTTTACCTTGAGAGGAAAGTAGACGGGAAGTGTGTGCTGTTTAACATTGTTGAACGCACGCGGATTACCTGAGTGATAAATTAAGAGCGGCTTCAGCTTAAACCCTGTAATGTTACTGCCAAGCAGCAGAGTTTGCCTATCCTTAAATGCTTGAAATCCCGGCATGTTTTTTGGAATATAAGGGCGTGCTGTCATCTGTTTCCGAAATTATCCAGTTTCATCAACATTGGAAATCTGCTCCGCTATATATCCGTCACTTGCAATTAATTCATCCAGAATATCTACACACTTACGTGTTCCCTCCCCATCCGCACTCGCTGCTTCTCCAGTCACTCGAACAGTATGCATTTGGAATCTTTTCTTGAATCTCTGGAATCATCCAGTTTTTGCTACAAACTCTTGACTGTAGTCTTCTCCAACACGCTCCTTCAGAGTCTGAAATAGTCTTCTAGTCTTCATCTGCACAGTAAAAAGACTCAATGGTGTCCGTTTTTTGAATTTGATCGTCCATCCAAATATTTAGCAATGTCTCCATTTCGTGGACGGGTCCGCTTCGTGGCTTTGTTATAACTATTGATCGCATGGGTGCAGAGCCTTTCACAGCTTCAATCATTATTTCTTCATCTTTCAAAATCGTCGAAACAGTAGTGTGTGATAACTTCATATCACGTTCTATCTTTCCTTCTTCGTACAGTGAAATTACCGTCATTTTCGTGTTGAGATCGGTGGCCTTTCTTTCCTTCTTAACAGGCTGAGGCGATGCCAAGACAATTTCCTCTTGGGAGACATCTTGGCAGATGGGATTTTAAATGTTCAACCTCTGAAGAGCTCTCCAATCAACAAGCTTTTAGCCACGCTTGGGAAAGTCTATTTATTGAGTGTGACCGTGTTAGTTCTTAGAAATTGATGACGCTGGCTAGCAGCATAGCATCATCATGTCAACATGCCTCCCTTTCTTTAGTTGACGGCCGCCGATGATTGCAGAAAACGCCGTTAGACTGATAATTGAGGCAGAAATAAATCTAAAATCTTACATGGCTAGTGATTGTGGTCACAGAGTCCAAAGGTCGTAATTTGCATAGGTCGTACATCGAGCACTAGCTGTAGATGTGAACAAGTCATATTTTATGAAACAAACATGCGCGTTTTTGTGTGTTAAAATCGAATGTGTCTTCTTCTTCTTATATTTGAGGTGCCCACGATCAATTTGTTGATCATTCTGGCTCCTGGTTTAAATTCAGAGTTTGCCTTCTCTTAGATGGGTTGCCGTCCAAGGCTAGCGAGTCCCATCTACCCGGGGTGCTTGGGATGATTTGCTTTTGGTGGGGATTGAACTCCAGACCACCAGCTGTTTGGTTTGAGACCGTTTAGACCGCTCGGCCACCCAGCACCCAGTGTATTCTTCTATTTAAAATGTATACTTTTGTTTTCGCATCGTCACTCTCAACAGAGCAATAGAAAATTTGCGTGAAAACAGAAATTAAGATTAAGTTAAAAAAGAAATTTTAATATGGTAAAATATTGGAGTCTATATTTAAATTCTATCTATTTTCGATTACTTCTTTGTAATTCAACCAGCCACTCAACATCTCAGCCAGTCACCTACTCTCACTCCCTCTCTCGTTCTCTCTCTCACTCAACCACCCACTCACCCAGTCACTCACCTACCCAATCTCCCACCCACTCTCCCACTGCTCACCCATCACTCATCCACCCACTCACACATCCACGCTATCACCCACCCATCACTCACCCTTCTCCCACCCGTCCAATCACTCACCCAGCAACTCTCACACCCACTCTCCCACCTCTCACCCATCACTGATCCACCCACTAACTCGCACACTCACCAAACCACCCACTCTCCCACCCACTCACTCACTCTCCCACACACTCTCCCACCCACCCATCAGTCACCAATTCTCCCACACGTCCGCTCACTTACCAACCCACTCACACACCCACTCTCCGAACGCTCACTCATCACTCACCCACCTACTCACACACCCACTCTCCCACCGCTCACTCATCACTCACCCACCCACTCACCCAACCACCCACTCATCACTCACCAATTCTCCTACACGTCCGCTCACTTACCCAACCACTCAAACATCCACTCTCCCACCGCTCACTCATCACCCACCCACCCACCCACTCACCACCCACTCACACACACACTCACCCAACCACCCACTCTCCCAATCACCCACTCTCCCAACCACACACTCTCCCAACCACCCACTCTCCCACCCACCCAGCCATCACTCACATATCAAATTACTCACCCATCACTCCTATCCGCAACTCAACCACCCCTCATTTTCTATCTACGCCACTGCCAGTGGCGTAGCCATAATTTGACGTAAAAACAGTGAAAATTCTATTGTTAAAATCCCACATCCAGAGACATAACTGGACCTTTAAGGCACAGATGTTCCCGGGGCCAGACTAGTGGTTTCGCTAAAAAGTTGCTGGGGGTGACATTTTGATCGGGAGTGGCAGTGGGTTGGAGTGTTGGCAGAAAATAAGGGTGGTGAGGGGGATCTGAGACGGGGTCTTTGAATGAACCATATCACTCACGAACTATAACTATAAACCAAGTTCATATACTTGGCTTATTTTCTTGGCTTGCGGGAGAACAGTTGCCAGATAAAAAAAAAAATATATATTTTTCCACTCTACACCAGTGGTTCTCCTCCTGTGGCTGGGACACTTTTGGGGGTCAAACGATCCTTACATAGGGGTTGCCTAAGACCATCGGAAAACAAATATTTATGAAATAGCAGCAGAATAATTTTATGATTGGGGGTCACCACGACATGAGGAACTGTACAAAAGGGTCACAGCATAAGAATGTTGAGAACCACTTCTCTAGACCGATATTTTGTGCACATATAGCACAGGGTGTATACCCTGGTAGTTACAACGAGTTAATTTAACAGTTATTATCTTTTCAATTACAGCATGGAGACCATGCCAACGCCACCACCGATTTTGCGTTTGGCCAACGCAAATACAACTCAAGGCAAAAATTACCCGGATCCAGCGGTGAGGTCATCACCAAATACATCTCAAGAAAAGCCAGACCCGAAACAAGCAGTTACGTCATCGCCAAATACACCTCAAAACAACACATACCCGGATCGTGCAGTGACGTCACGACCACAGTCAAACTTGACCTTAGAGACGAATGGTGAAACAACATCGCAGGTTAAAATGTATACCGTAGCAGCACACGCCTACGACAGCGACGATGATCAGGATGAAGAATCTGGCACTGTTGACGAGGAGGACGACCACGAAGACAAGGAACGCGAGGCTTTCATAGAGGAGCACCTGAAAGATTTCCCTTGTACCTTCAACATCGGCAAAGCCAACTACAACATCGAGAAGAGGGTGTTCGCCGTAGAAACCATCAAGCAGATGTCATGCCGAGGCATCGCGTGGGAGAGCATCGTCGACGATGCCATCGTCAGTAGCAACGATGACGCATGGACTCCCCTTGAGTGGACGCAGAACCTCAGAACGCGTGCCTATGTGGAGCTGGGCAGGCTGGAAGAAGCGCGAAAGTTGATCGACGAGATTCTTAACGAGACAGGCGGGCAGACGATCACGGCCACGGCCAATTTAGCTGTTTGGTATTTCGTACAAGGGAACGTGAAAGACGCCCTGAAAGTGGTCAGACTACTTAACGAATTGTCCAAGCTGAAAACGTTTCGCCATCTGAAGGCGGACGCCATCTGCGAGCAGGCGTATTTATATTATGAAATCTCGGGAGCCGAGAACAACATATCTGGTATTGAGATTTTGAAATTCGCTCTGAATTATTCGATTAAGTACAAAACTGAGGTGACTTTTATGATGGGATCAATGCACAGAAGATGTTTGCACTGGAATATTTATTTGTTTGACAAAGATCAAATAGATTTTGTTGAGTTTGCGAAAAATGCGTGGGAGATTTTGAGTAGTGTGAGAAATATGAAAGCGGTTAAATCTATCGTGAAGGCCAACACCTTAGTGGAGCTTGCTTTCCTCAAGAACGATGTTTCCGTCGTTGAAGATGTTGATACGGAGAGCTTAAATTTTGACTTCTCCATAGAGGCGCTGTGCGAGGAAGCTGTTGAACTAGCACCAGCCTCAGCGAACGTTACAGCAATAGTTGGTCAACTGGTTAAGCATATACCTCGGCTAAAAAGCTGGGCAAAGCATCTTTTAGAGGTGTCCTTAGAAATAAAGCCCTCAGGAAGGGCACACCATCATTTGGGATTGATTCTTCTGAAGGAGGCTAACCAGTTTGAAAAAGAGAACTTTTCAAAATTATCTCCCAAAGAGAAGCAAAGCAGAGACGGTAAACGCTCAGATTCCTGTGATACTCAATGCGTCTCTTATAATCACAACCAAAAAAGAATCCAGCGCTGTGATACTTTTGAATGGGTCTTGGACAGTTGTCTTGCCGAAGGTAAAAGAATACCCGTTTTTAGCACCCACAATCCCTTTATTCAAGATGCTGCAGAAAATCTTTACACTTATTTCAACCTAGCCTCCTTAAGGAGAAATCAACCAACCTTCGCTAGATTGGGATACGCCTATCTACGATGTCGCCAGTACAACCTGGCTTTGAGTATTTACAGTCGTTTCACTTATTATGGTCCAAACGAGATACCGAAGTTAATTCTGGCTTACTGTCTCAAAATGGCCGCTGTTTGTTTCCTGCTCAACGCAGAGATGGCCGAAAGCGAGGAGAAGCGATCGAAAAGAAGAAAAGCAGCCAAATCGCTGCTAGTCAGCTCTGTGATTTTTGCGGAGGAGATTTCCAAGGAAGAGGTATCAAAAATGGAGTTGCAAATGTTCTGGAAAGTCATAAAAAACCTACCGAAGTATCACTTGGTGCCTCCTCCATTATTTCCAAAGCTTTAAAAGTATAAACATTTCACGTGGCCTTCAAAAAACTGTTATCTTTAACATTTCAAACAGTTTATGATGATATGTATATATATTTAAAGTGATGAAGGGTTGCCAATTCCTCAGCCTCACTCTCACGTCCCTGCTAATTTGATCCAATGGCAAGACTTAGCCGAGATGACTTGAAATTGACCAGGATGCAGTAGATGACCAGCACAGTGTGCGTGTCTCACTCTGCTGTTTAAGCGTAATCCGTTGCGAATTTCATTGTGTTTTTTTCATACCGCCAACGTGACTCCATCTCCGGGTTTAATTTCAGATTTTTCCATCTCTCAGATGAGTTGTCATCAAAGTTTAACGAGTACCATCCACCCCCATAAAGCTTGTGCTGAGCTTAAGTCCACTAGCATGGGTTCGACCAAGTTTAGGCTATGCGGCACCCAGCACCTTTAACATCAAGACTTGACCGGCCAGTGCTTTCAATAACATATTATTTAAGTAAGATTCCAGCATCAAGCGTGCTTCGCTAACTACATCTGTTACCAAATAAAGTCATCGAGACATGCTCAACCTCTTTCTTGTCTGTTTTTTTTTTCTGGTTCAGTGTGAACATCAGCTCATGGTTCTATTTTAGTCTGAATATATTTTTATTTGAAAAATAATTTGAAGTTAGGTTAGTCTAACTTTATTGAATAATTTTTGTTGTTGTTTTTTCCATCATGTTTATCAACCATCTTGTTGTGGCACTATCTTGTTGTGATACTATCTCATTTGCTGTACCAACTGATTTCTGTTGCCATCTTGTTTGTCGTAGCATCTTGTTTGTCGTAGCATCTTGTTTGTCGTACCATCTTGTTTGTAGTAGCATCTTGTTTGTCGTACCATCTTGTTTGTCGTAGCATCTTGTTTATCGTACCATCTTGTTTGTCGTACCATCTTGTTTGTCGTAGCATCTTGTTTGTCGTACCATCTTGTTTGTCGTAATTGGTTTTGTTTAATCATGTTAATGAGCGATTTAAAACTCAAAAAAGTAGAAAGTTTCAGTTTCACGTCACATGGCCTCATAGAGTGCTCATCTACTCTTAGGGTGCTCATCTACTCTTAGAGTGCTAATCTGCTCTTAGAGTGCTCATCTACTCTTAGGGTGCTCAACTACTCTTAGGGTCCTCATCTACTCTTAGATTGCTCATCTACTCATAGATTGTTCATCTACTCTTAGGTCGCTCATCTACTCTTAGGTCGCTCATCTACTCTGAGAGTGCTAATTTACTCTTAGAGTACTCATCTACTCTCAAAGAGCTCGCCTACTCTTAAGTTGTTCATCTACTCTTAGAGTGCTCATCTACTCATAGACTGCTCATCTACTCTTAGAATGCTATTCTACTATTTGAGTGCCCAGCTACTCTTCTGCACCGTCATTCTTTGAACATACACTCACATACACACACAAACCCTCTCTCTCTTTCACAATCTTATATGCACATATACTTTCTCACACACACTCACATGAACACCCACACTTTCTCTCTCTCACACACACTCACATGTGCACACTGTCTCTCGCGCACACACACATGCATACACACCCTCCCCTTCACATACACACTCCTTTCCCCCTTGGCTCTACCACTAGTTCTAGTACACCAACTTCAATACATCGGAGTTCATATTTTAAAGAGTCTTCCACCTGGATCGTATTAATGCAGTGCGCATTTTATATATATATATATATATATATATATATATATATATATATATATATATATATATATATANATATATATATATATATATATATATATATATATATATATATATATATATATATATATATATATATATATATATATATATATATATATATATATATATATATATATATATATATATATATATATATCAGGTCTTCACATGATGAACACGTGATGAGACGCATCCAGAAGTGTTGGTCACGTGACCAATGAAATCTGCTGTAACAACCCAAGCCAGGACGAGTTCAGGGGAACCCCCTTCGTGACGTACCGTGCTATAGTCCATTTAAACCAAACAGGATCAGTCAATCGCCAAATAACGAGACACGCGTAATATCTATCTTCGGCTCTCTTCAAAGTACTGATGAATATATGGCTTAAGAAGAACTACCCTGTGTTATTAATATTAACACAACCCGATAAAAAGGCTATCTATTAGTCCGGTATTTCTCATCCCCCAATACCCTTTCAACAACAAACAGAATTTTGATGTTTGTCCGATATCAAGGAAGTTGTGTCCCCTTCATTTTAACCTCTGAATTGCTAATACGCGATCTCTTATATTTTCGTTGTCTTTCTTTGATAAATTTGAGACCAACATAGGGAAGCGATGATGGTGGCATGAAACATGCTACACTTCTTAATGGAATAATTTGCTGCATTTCAATCACATTTTAAAAATTATTACTGCTACAAATAAAAATAGAGAATACTTTTTGGTCCAGTTGTTCCTAAATCACATTGATTTGTGCCTAGGGAAAATATTAAACATAAATCTTATGCAGTTGGTCACGTGAATCAATAAGTAATGTAGCCATTAATGAAGCCAGTAATTCAGCCAGTAACGCAGCCAGTATGGTTGCCAGTAATGCAGCCAGTAATGTAGTCCCTAATGTAGCCTGTAATGTAGCTATTAATGTGGCCAATGATGTTGCCAGTAAATGTAGTCAGTAATGCAGCCAGTAATGTAGCCATTTATTCAGCCAGTAATGTAGGCAGTAAAGTAGTTAGTATGTAGCTAATAATGTAGCCAGCAATGAAGCATAATGTAGCCAATAATTCAGCCAGTAATTTAGCCAGTAATTTAGCCAGTAATTTAGGCTATGGGTTACTGAATCCTTTATGCTATGGGTTACTGAATCCTCTATGCTATGGGTTACTGAATCCTCTATGCTATGGGTTACTGAATCCTCTATGCTATGGGTTACTGAATCCTTTATTCTATGGGTTACTGATTCCTTTATGATATGGGTTACTGAATCCTCTATGCTATGGGTTACTGAATCCTTTATGATATGGGTTACTGAATCCTTTATGATATGGGTTACTGAATCCTCTATGCTATGGGTTACTGAATCCTCTATGCTATGGGTTACTGAATCCTTTATTCTATGGGTTACTGATTCCTTTATGATATGGGTTACTGAATCCTCTATGCTATGGGTTACTGAATCCTTTATGCTATGGGCTACTGAATCCTTTACGCTATGCTTTACTGAACCCTATACACTTTAGGTCACTGAGTGGCGAGTATGCAGTATATGGGGCATATTCCGCTGTTAACCACAGGCTGATTTTTGTTCTTAAGCTTGACATTTCGAAAAGAATGCGAAAACTAAATGTAACAAACGAAAGGGGAACCCCCCCCCCCCC